TGCTGAGAGATAAATTGTTCCAGGAGTTATTACGATTATATTGTTATTCTGAGACAATAATGCTGACATAATACACAAGAACAGATTGTCAAAGATCAATAAACTTTAAATTCAAATGAACATTTAACACTGGAACTACAAGACATTTTACATATCCAAAATAAATAAAAACAACAAATGAAATTAATTATGAGGTCTCTGTGAATTAAATTGTCCTTGAAAAACAGCTGGATGAGACTAAAACACCAGACTGGAGACTTTTAATAACCTGAGAAAAACTATAAATTATGCAAATATAAATTGTTGAGTTTGTTTTAATTTATTATGTGATTAATTGATTTATAACATAATCTTTTACAGTTTGTTTTAACTTTCTCCATACGTTTATTCGGCATATAGTTATATTTAAGACACAATCCTGCAAAAGATTCAAGCTTGACTGTTTTTTTTATATATATTTGCATTTGGAAGAGATAAATTTGAAGGTTTGTTTGTGTCCTGCTATAAAAATGTTGTTTTTAAAGTGTTTTTGTCTCGACAGGTCCGTTCTCCCAGAGACGTTCCTGAGACGCTCCAGATGCCGCAGCGGCTACAACACAGATTTATTCCTTTCATTGTGTTTTCTAAAATGAAAGCTGCTGAATTCTAATTTGTTGTTTGTGTATTTATTATTTATCTTTCTATTGGATAAAGTCAAGTTGCCTTGTGATATTCTGTATTGCAGTAAAATAATTATTTTGGAGATAAATGTTGATTCATTGGTTCTTTGTGGGGACAGCTATATGCAGCACTCTGTACAAATAAGGAGTTTTAATTAGATTTACTTTAATAATCATCAGATCTTATTAACTCTGATCACACTGACAACATAACAAACCAGAAATAATCCAAAATGAACCTGATCACAGTTTAATTACTAATGTGACAGACTGAAATAACAGAGAAATAAAAAACACTGTGTTTAGTTGGTACAGGTGTTGATAACTACTCTCATAGTTTCTATTAAAGCAATGGATAGCATATAAAAACATGAGTGAAAACTGATCAAAGGTTTCACAGGTTTTCATAAATGGTTTCACAAGCATCAACTCATTAATGTTAGAAATAAAACAGTCTATATTATTTTAGTGGTTTGTTCCAGATAACAGTTCAAGTTTAACAGTTTGTTGTTTAAAATAATTTTACAACTTAGCTGATGCTAAGCTGCTGTTGCTAACTGAGCTGTTAGCCGACTGGAGTGAAGCTTATTTCGACATACAACAAATAATTTTGAAAATGCAAGCAGAAAAAGGGTTCATCCCACATTAAAACAGTATTTCTCACTCATCATGAAGAAGCAGCTGAAGTAGCGGTTGAACATTAATCTGAACAGACGACAATGAGCTGCGACAAATGAATGGTTGGAGAAAATCTGTGCAGCATTTAGAGGTGGTTGGATGTTTACATACCGACAAAAAATGATGAATCCAGAGGAATATTTGGAAGCATAAAGTGTATGAACCTTACAGGGAAAACATGTTTCCTAAAGACCTGGGAACATTTCTGTGAGAAAAGTGGAAAAAACAAAGAAAAAATGGAAGACGTGTCCTTTTATTTGGGATATGTAAATATCTGGTTTACAAAGTTTTACATCGTTTACCCTGGAACATGAAAAAGGATGCAAACAGATGTGTGATATAACTGTAAATCTTTGAAAAGCATAACTGGAACCTCCTGCACAATTCATAAGAATGCAGAAAGTGGTTTATGGAAGGTAAGTCAACAATAAAAATCTTGTCTTTTCCAGCAGCCATTGTACAGTGCATACAGCAGGTGGTTTCTGCTGATGTGTGATGTTACATTCAAAAGGTTTTTGAAACAACTCATTTCCAGACATCAAAAAACATCTGGGTGGGTTGTTTTAAAATCTTGGCTGTTTTTAGAAGCAGTAGAAACTCAAATGGAAATACAAAAACGTGCAAAATTCAAATTTTTCGTAAGTATACATCCAAATCCGTGATTTCACACTCAAGATAGACACTAATCTTCCAAGTAGTGAACATCTCAACAACTTTGCTACAAAGTCAGATCAACGTTAAACAAAGCAAGACTTCTTGAACAAAGTCTCTTGGAAAAATGAGATCAAAATAAAGTTGCTTATCGCCAATGCATGACTCAATTTTAAGAAAAAAACTCAGCAAAGCACATCAGCACAAACACCTCCTAACAGGCGTGAAGTACAGTGGAGGGTTGATGATATGGTGTGGCTATGCAGCCAAAGAATCTGAGATATCGCAGTAAATGAGTCTCCATACCGAAAGACTTTAGCCTCAAACGTGAAGCCATCAGTCCAACAGCTGAAGCTCCAAACTCCAAATGATTTCAGCCAATAGATTTCAGTTGTCGGTGTTTGAATCCTTCTAGGTTAATATTACAGATAAATCCTCAGAAACAAATTTGTTCTTACTGCTGGAGTCACCAAAGACATGACAGAGGTCTGTTTTGCTGTGTCATAGATGGTTAATATGTGCCTGCAGTCATGAGTCCCTGTACCCAGGAAAAGTACTAGTTTGGTGAATCTGTTACCAAAACAGACTGAGAGTGTGGCCAAGGCAAAGGGCCAATCACGGACCAAACAGGGCTGCAAACCACAACTGTAACCTCTAACGATGTATGTCTCTTAAAAAGGTTTTAATTTTTAAAGTAGTGTTTAAAATAGTCTAACAAATAAACCAAATCTGGATTTGTTTGCTTTTTAATGTAGTTCTTCAGGACTTTTCACTGATTTACCATCACCAGTGATCAAGATTAACAGGTTGCAGTTTCTGATGGACCAAAAAAGAAAACGGCTGTGCAATAAACTAAGTAATATTTTCATTTTAAAAAGTCACATTTTTAAAAAATGGTACATCCAAAACGTAAGCAGATTTTGTTTCTTATTGAAAACAGGAACATGTCAATTCTCAGTAATAAAACCAGGATTTGGTTCACAATTTCCCTGAAAACGTTTGTTAAATTAATTAAAATATATTTGGCTTCACCCAAGGTTCAGCAAACTCTGCTTTTGAGTCGTAATTATTTTACCACCTCTAAATTTGATTCCGATTTTTGATTCTAAACGATTAATCGTTGTTTCCTGCTTCAATCATACATGTGCAAAGGAACCTCATGATCTTCTCCAGTCTGTTTAAGGGGCAGTTTCTGCATTATTTAAGCTTTAAACATTAACAAATGCTTACCTTGGCTTAGCTAACCTCTCCCACTCGGACCGGCCCAGTACCGGACCGGCTTAGTATCGGCCCAGTACCGGGCGGACCGGCCCAGTACCCGACGGACCGGCCTACCTCATTAAAGCTTCGCTGTCGCTTTGCTCCAAGTTTTTCCTCCATCTTCATTTTCCAGACTTTGACCGGTGAAACTCTCAAAGCTCCGTCTTCCTTAAAACACAGAAACCAAAATGAGTCCAAATGTTTTCCCCGAACGACGCCAGACGTGTTTAATGTCTCTCTTTCTTCTTGTTTTCTGTAATGGCGGACCGCAAACCAGCTCAAACCCGCCACCTAACGTACAGCGTCATGACGTCACCACGGCCTGGGAAGCTATAAAATGGAGGCCGAGACGCGGAACAAAAACATGTCAATCTACCTTTAATTACTGCATAATTGGCTAGTTTTATTTGTAGAATATTTTTATGTTCGTGCTGAAGTCAGTTTGTTAATTTTATTTTGTGTTTGTAAGCTTAATTAGCATTTTTCTTTCGATTTGGGGACATTTTCGGGATTCTTATGGGAATTTATTTATTTTTGGGACACGCCTATGAGTAAAAGTCACGGAATAGATCTATTAACTATAAAAATAACTGAAAAGTGTAAAATAATTAAAAAAACAAATACTTACTGTTGTAGGAAATTAATTAATCAATCCATTTTTGATATGTGAAATTCGTTGTTAAAATGGTATTTATGGAAAAAACACAGCAGATGAGTATTTTGGTCGGCTGCAGCGCTAAATAGATCTGCCATCATAGGAAACTAATGACCACATGGTTTCTGCTCTATATTTAGCTCTTTGATAAAACAGTTCAAGTTCTACAAGTAAAACATGCATATCTATCATACCAAACATTCCTGTGTTTTTTACTCTGCTCTAATAATCAAAACATAGCAAAAGGTGATAATAAATAGTGACTGCATAATCACTATTATTTGGTTTATTCTGAAGTATTTTTGTCGAGTTATTAGCACTGAGAGGAAAAATGTTTGTCTTTTTTGGTTCTGAACACTGAAAAACATACAAAATCTGACCAAGTATTTTTCATCTAGTTATTAGTGAAAATATCTTAGAATAGAAATCAGACAACACTAACATAAATCAACTTTTCAGCAAGAAAAGTTTTAAGTTAATTCCTTAATTCTTGTTCTACTGGCAGATTATGTCACTTATAACATGGAAAAATGTCATGAAACAATATGCCAATGGAACGAATACATTTTTCCAATTATTAAGGAATTACTTAAAACAAGTTACAATATCTCAATCAAAAGTTACTTGTAAGTCAGTTTTGTCTTATGTCAAGCGCATTAAACTATTTGTATCAGGAACTAAAATACTTGATAAGGTTTTGTGTTTTTGCAGTGAAGGAAATGAGGTCACAGTCTGAACCCCAGAAAAGAATTTGCTTATCTTCATTTGGTGACCAGCAGGTTGTTTTACCACGTAGACGCCTCGATTTAGCAACTCTGTCATATTATTTTACAACTTCCTGTAGCCTAGTGACAACATCTGAGTCCTGAGTGGACGGTGGGTCGGACTTTTTCCTGAAACAAAGTAGGATATGGAAGCAGCAGCTGTCAGATATCTCCGATATGCTACTTAATAAGGAGCCGTTTCCGACAGCTTCCGTTATCAGAATCAGGTGTCAAGAATGCATAAAGCCTGAGTTCAAATTCCCGGCATTCCTCGGCGTGTCGGGCTCAAGTATAAAGGAGCAGCTGGTGGAGTCCAGCATCCGAACAGCAGCCGAGCCAAAGGCCAACGAGTGGAGATATGAACGGCAGCATCTCTCAGAGAAATATGTTTCTATCTTCCATTCCTCTCTGCAGTCTGCTCCTCATCTTCAACCTGGAGCCAAGCAGCACTTACCCCATCAGCAACGGCCTCACTGACATCGATATGGACATCCTGAAGGTGAGTACCCAACGATCCAATTGAGAAAATCATAAAACTAGAGAGGACAAGGCTGCTAAGGTTAATGCTGGTTGTTTCAGGTGCTGCTTCAGAAACTTGAGGAGTCGGCTTCGGAGCAGACTGCGGTGGACGAAGGAGTCTCTGAGGACGGCGGCCGCGCTAACAGGAGGGACACGGAGGACACGTCCAGCGAGCGGCAGCCTCAAACCGACCTGGACGAGGAGCAAATCAGAGAATTCCTCTCAGCCAAGAACCTGAAGAGCGTCCGCAACGACTCGTCCAAGAGGTCTTCCGGCTGCTTCGGGCGCCGCATGGACAGGATAGGCTCCATGAGCTCCCTGGGCTGCAACACGATTGGCAGATACAGTGAGTTCAACAGCAGAAAACCACACCGAGTTGACACCGAGTTCACACTGGAGCCCATTCTGTTCTCAATCTGTTTTCTTCTTCTCTCCAGATCCAAAGCAAAGATGAAGTCTTACCGTTCAACCGATGCTGCTCCAAAGTCTGTACCAAAACCTGTTTCCTTTTAAATGTTATTTATTGACTAATATTTACTGTTCTTTCTCTCGCCAATATTTAAAACATATTTATTGAAAATAGATGTGATGTTTCTTCTGTACCGTTGAATGTCTAATAAATGTTTACATCATCAGAAATGTGTTATTTTTGTCAAAGCGTCTCAAGGCTTCAATTCAATTAAAAAATACTTTATTGATCTCAAAAGGAAATTAATGTTGGAACTCATTAATTCAAAGAGCTATGATGACTGTTGGCAGGAAAGATCTCCTGTAGCAGTCTGTATCACAGCAATTGTGAAAAAGCCTCTGACTGAAGTCACTCTTTTACCCCAAAGACAGTCTCACCTAATCTCAGGGTGTCCAAAGTGTGGCGCGGGGGCCATTTGTGGCCCTTGAAATGATTTTATTCGGACAAGTCAAGAATGATTAAAATCTTTTTCTGTTAATAAGGCAACAGATTTATTGTGAAGGTAAAATAAGAAAAAAATCTAATATTTTTTTTATATTTTCAATTTAATTGCTTGTGTGGCCCAGATGTAGTTACAATTTGCCAGTTTGAACAAGGAGTTTTTTAAAAAAAAATTTCAGCATAAAGTATGCATTTAGTTGGAAATAGTAAATGTAATAAAAATGCTTCACTGAACCTAAATAAGGATTTTTTTTACACTATAAGAATTTGCTGAAGCTGTTTCAGCACCATGGAGAGCAAACAGAAACGCTGCGACACCGTTTGGAAAGTCAAACAGAAACTTTTCTGTCAGAAATGATCTACAGTCCAACAAAAACTACTAAACGCTGAGCAAGAAAAGAGTCACTCCATGAAAACCTCTGGATTCAAACTTTATCTCACAAAATCATCAAAAACAAACAACCTGCAGGCCAAACAATGAGTTTTTCCCCCTCAGTAATAAACTGGGCCACAATACTATAATTAGACAAATAGTGTTTTAAATTTGTGTTGAAACTTATAGATCCCAAACTTGAAACGTTTATTTTTTTTCATTTGCCTCGTTAAGACAGACGACCAGTTTTCAGATTTATTAAGTTCTGAACTGAAATAAAAAAAGAAAAAGATCTGGACAGTTCTGAACAATAAAAACAGGATTTAAGTCACGCTTTGTTTAAAAATGTTACCCGTGTTTAGTAGCGTTCAGTAAATTCATTAAAACCAAATTTGAAAGCAGCAAAGTTTTCTTTTAAACACAATGCAAAAGTCTGGTTATTTAAAAACAAATGCAGTATTTACTATTGTAAAAACATTCTAATGTGATTATTTTGCTCTAATAAAACAAATTAAATTATGAAAACCTTATTCTACTAAATCTAATATAAAACATGATTTATTTTGCATTTTTTTACAAGTGCTGTGCAAAATTTACACATGTGCAGCAAATGCTGTAGAAACTGTAATTATCAAAATACATTTTACTTCTTTTTTGAATAATCTGGTCAAAGTAAAGTTTTACAAGTTGTGGTAGTTTGGAGAATTATATGTAGATTTTCTACACAATAACATTTAAAAGTCTGAACAAAAGGGCTCAGATTCTGTCTTGGTAAAAAAATAAAAGAAATTTTTAAGAAAAAGTATTTTGTTTTGAAAAAGAAACAATGTAATCTGTCCACAGTGAGGTTATTTAACAATTATCTAATGTGATTGATAGTAAAATTGGATGAAAATTAATAATGTTTGTAAAATATGAGTCAAAATATATTTAATGAAATGTTTATTCTGATTGGCTTCTAGTCAAATTCATTTAACTGCTTTTCTACTTAAGTTAGCAAAAAACTGCTGCAAAAAACGTGAAATTAAATCAGATTTCATGCGATTAATATAAATATAATATTTTCTTATAATTAAAACAGGGGATTGTGTTGAAAATGTGCTTTACCTTCTAATAAAGTCATAATATATTAAGATAAAATGTTCTGTCACTGAACTTATGACCATCTGAAATCAGAAGCTATCAGGTTAGCATGGATGCTAAAATAATGTAATAATTAAAACATTCTAAAAGTTGATGTTTGTAAAGGTCAGAGGTCACGGCTGTTTGGGAAGCTGCTTTGTAGAACAATGAGACAGATTTGTTATTCTTTGCTGTGGTGATGATCCTGAAGGTGGGAATCTTCCAGATGAATTAATCTCTGATCGATAAATTGAATCCCGTCCCTTTAAGGCCGCAAGTTTGACCCAATATGGAGTTTTGATGCTCAGAAGAGCGAAAAGTGTTAAATTTTTTCACTGAGTGATGCTTTGAAAATAAACCACGCCTGAGCTCAGGGAGCCAAACTGGACTCCTGAAGTCATCCATCCCACTGCTGGTTGGTCCTCACACACACACACACACACACACACACACACACACACACACACACACACACACACACACACACACACACACACACACACCTGAATACAAACACATACACACCTCTCAACACACAGCCACCAGTGAAGTAGACATCTGACTTGCTGCTTTATCATGCAGAGGTGCCAGAATGCTCTTGACTTGATGCATGAAACAATGAGCCAACGTTGACTGTCTGCTGTGTGTGTGTGTGCGTGCGTGTGTGTGTGTGTGTGCGTGCATGTGTGCGTAGGTGTGTGTGTGTGTTGCCATGTATTTAGCCTCGGCCGGCGTCGGCTGCAGGCTCAGCCTCGGCATCAGGACAGCATGAAGACGGCGGTGGTTTTCACTGCGTTGGCCTTGTTCTGGCAGCACAGTCTGGTTACTGGGCACGCACTGGGACGGCCCTCGCTTCCCAGTAACCTGGACCAGTTAAAGGTAGGAGAACCAGCTCAGAGCCACTGGGGGTGGAGGGTTTATGGCAGGGGTGTCCAAACATTTTGTCAAGAACTCACGGGTCAAAAAACACCCAAACCAAATTTGAAGAAATAGAAATTTTAAAATCAAATCAAGTTGTTTGATTTTGTTGGATTTTTGTAGAAAGGAACCAAAATCACTCCAAGAGCCACAAATGGCCTCTGAGCCACATTATGGACACCCCTGGTTTGCACTTCGATGGAGCTTCATCAGTCAGATGTTTTCTTATGGCAGCCATGTTGGATTTTTTTCCTCTTTTTAGGTGTAATTTTTATTCCATTTTTTAATATTTCCCTAATATTTTCTGTCCTTATTTCCAAGTTAAGTTGGATTTGTTACGGTCCTGTGACTATCGGGTTGAAATAATATTTATTTATTTTTTCATATTAAAACTTTCAGTAGCATCACTTAAAACTATTAAAAAGGTAATTTTGTTAAATTTTAAAATTTTCCTGTTTATGTTGGTTTTATTGTGGAAATTATAATAAATTATAATAGGATATAATTAATTACAGTTTAAAGTTTATTGATTTCTGAGAATTTGCTCTTGTTATTATTATTTTGCCATGATCATCATTTTAGTTGAAATGGTCTAAAAAATAAAAACAATATTATTGTTTATTGCAATAATTTCTGGGACAATTAATATCCAGCACAGCCTGTTACTGTGACAGAACTACTTTAAACCACAAAATCTTTTCCTCAGAAATGTGAAGAAAAATAAAAGAAAGCTCAATTCCTTTAAGAATATAATAGAAAGACATTTTTTGTCCCTCAACACAGAAAAAAATGTTTGTCAGCTGCAAATGAAACCATGCAACTTCACATAAAGACGACAATAAAAGCAAAAAATAAAATCAAGTTACGTAAATTAAAGTCAAACTTTCACAATAAAACAACGTATTCAGGTCCTGAACCGTCTAAAATGTGCAAACAGTTCTCCATATTAGTGTAAAAGAAATGACTAACAATAAAATCTGAAACAGTTTAGATGAGATGGGAGGTTTTAGAGTTTAACCGCTGCTGAGAGGAAGGGCCTTCGATAACGCTTCTTAGTGCTCAGAGGATCTCTGATGTTCCCACCAAAACGCAAACAAATGGGCTGGAAAAATAATGCATGTAAAGAAAATAAGTATGACAAAAATAATGGAAATAAAAGTAAATGCTGATTTATTCTGTGCCTCATAATGTGAATCAGATTAACTTGGAGCCGTTTTTACCTCTGCAGTCGCTGCTGGAGCGGATCGAGGAGACTCTGGCCAGCGAAGCTCAGGACGAGTCGGATTACAAGGAGCCGATCTGGGAAGCGGATCCGAGCCAGGACGGGAGCCCGGAGCAGCAGAACCGGCCGTCTGAGGCGAGTCAGCGGAACCGGCTGAACGACCTGCTGCTGAGCCTCAGGAAGCGGGCCTCCAGCTGCTTCGGCGCACGCATGGACCGGATAGGAAACATCAGCGGCCTGGGATGCAACAGCGGCAGAGGTACCACACAGGGGGCGATGTCAGGGGGACCAAAGCGCGGTCCGGGGGCCGTGCGGGGCCCTCTGAAGGATTTTCAGTTTAATTCATAGTTGGGACTGAGGTGAACCGAGGTGACCGATCACCGAGCTAATGAAACATTTAGCTCACCCAGAACTAAACATGCTAACGAAACATTTAGCTCACTCAGAGCTAAACATGCTAACGAAACATTTAGCTCACTCAGAGCTAAACATGCTAACGAAACATTTAGCTCGCCCAGAACTAAACATGCTAACGAAACATTTAGCTCGCCCAGAACTAAACATGCTAACGAAACATTTAGCTCGCCCAGAGCTAAACATGCTAACGAAACATTTAGCTCACCCAGAACTAAACATGCTAACGAAACATTTAGCTCACTCAGAGCTAAATGTTCAACTAACTCAGAGCTAAATGCTGTAGAGCTAAGTTGTTAACTTGCTCATTAAAAATATTTAGTTGGGATCTAAATATCTAAGTGTTTCGTTTATTTTGTACACTAAATATTAATATTTAATTTGGAACTAAATATCAGTTTGCTAAGTATTTAGTTTGAAACTGTGACATTTATAAATTAAATAATAACATGGAGATAATATGACTTTAAAAAATTTACTTTTTATTTTTTGAGAAGGTAAATATCACAAATATTGAAGTTAAGTTTTGTGTAACTTTATGAACGAATGAAAAATTTCACTAAAACTTCCCCTAATAAGGTTTATATACTCTCACAAACACCCATAAATTATGTTTCTGTGATTGTTTTTCATTCCCAGGGTAGCCGGACGGACCGTTGGATCATTCTGAGCCTGAAGCCCTGATTGTGTCATCCTGCTCCGGTGAAAACTGATTATTGATCATGTAAATATGAGTGGTTCATCATCTGAAGTGGAAATTCATCTGCCAGCAGAAAAACTTACTCTGTGTGTTGTTTTCTAACACAAACATGTAAAATTAAAGATAAAAAAAGAAAAAAATACTTTTTTATATATATAAACATATATAATTCACATTACAGCTCAGTAAAAAGTTTTCAGAGGTTAATTTAATTTATTAGCTTTAATGATGTATGCAAAAGTAAAAACACTGTTTATGTAAGATCTATTATAAGATCTATAAATGACACTGAAATGTTAAACTAAATGTTTAGATTATTTAGCTTACTAATTAAATAGTTAGCTGAACAACTTGATGTTTAGTTTGGAGCTAAATATTTAGCTTGGAAATAAAATATTTAGTTTAAAACTGTGACATTTATAAATACAATTCTGTTATGACAGACTAAATAATTTGTGAGCTAAATATTTAATTAAAAAGCTAAATAAGCTTTGTAACATTTAATTAGAAAACTAAATTATCTAAATATGTAGTTTAGCTTACCTAGCTCACTAAATAATTTAAACTAAATTGTTTATTTAGCTACAATTGTGTTTACAAACAAAAATAATTTGTAAACAATTTTCAGTATAAAAACTAAAAATATTTAGTTTCTCCACTGTACAGAGTAACTAAATATTTAATTGTAAATATTTACAACTATTTAGTTTGTGAATATTTCATTTAAAAACTAAATATTTTGCTTATTCAACTTTCTAATTAAATATTTACTTTTAAATTGCCATTTACGACTGAAATTTTGTTATTTCAGACTAAATGACCCCAAATTATTGCTTTTAGTCTTTGACTTTATAACTTAACAAACACCAATCCAACCACTTTCACTGCCAGTCCCGCCAAAATAAAAGTCCTGGTATATTTCCAAAGAGCCGGGGGGGCGGAGCTTGTTTTGGTTTTCATATTATAATTTATTGAATATTTGGAAATGTCTTCAGCTTTAATGGATATGTTACATAAACCTCCCAGTAATGTTAAAATTGACATTAAATCTCCATTTGTCCAAATTAATACACATTTTTAAAGAATGTTCTAATTTTTTATTACTGTATGTGATGTAATATATTACATAGTTTTATTATCCTCAGCTGACTGATCTTCATGTAAATCTGTTATTGATTTTAATCCACTTTTATGTTTCTGATTAATCTGAAGATGAGATCATTGTAAAAACAAATTAAATAAAGTGATTTCAGACAATTAAATCCTGTTTTGTTTCTATCATCATGAGTGTCACAATAAAAACAATAAAACTGTTAAACAAGAATCAGAGGGGAATATTCAGAAATACTGAAGCCAAACAGAAAGAATCACCTTCACAAAAACCCAGAAAATACTAAAGGATGAAGGTATAATAGATATGAAAAAGGGCAAAGTAAATTTCAGCCGAAATTTGTTTTAGAAAAAAAAAGAAGAAATTTCCAGGTTTGAAAAGTTGCTGAAAAAAAAGACAAACATAAAAGATGTTGAACTTTTGTCAGAATTTTTTTGGGTTTTCAAGTTTTTTTGAGAAAAAATCTTAATTTTTTGGAAGAAATTTACTCCCTTTTTCCCTCTCCAGTCACTTCGCTGTAGATTAAAGCAATTCGAGAAAATTTCTGCCAAAAATTCAGAAATTTCCAAGTTTTTTCCTAGAACATTTCTGAGACTAATCTCAAAATTTCAGATTTTTTTCCGTATCAAATTTTAAACTTTTCAGGTTCATACATTTCCTTTCTTTTTCTAAAACATTTTGAGATCAATCTCAGAATTTCTGAGATTTTTGGCCAGAATGGTTCTCCTTATTTCTTCAGTGGCCGTGATTCGTTGTCGGTGTGAATCTGTGGCTCTGCTGCTAAAGCTGCTGTGGATCACACTAAATAAAACCGACGGCTGTCAGATGATTCATGCTGAAGTCTGTTTTTAATTCAGACTGAATCGAACCGCATCGGACAGGCACTGAAGAGGGAACACCACTGTGGGTTTGTAATGGTGGGACTGGGAGAACTGGTCTGTCCATTACAGAGATCCTGCTGGTCAATCAGAGCATGATGATGAACAAGGGGAACATTTGGAGCGACGGCTGCAAACCGGCCTGCGCTCAACATCCTGGCACATCCAGGCGTTAAAAGCTGCAGATTTTCCTCCTGATGGGAGAAATGACAAATAAATTCAGCTCAGGGTCTAAAGCGGAAAACCTGCAGCGGGATTTGAGATACGATCGAAGTCGTTCTGATCTTCCTGTCGCTCTGGGTAACTTTCCACCATTAACCGGCCCAGAAACACGTCGCTAAGCTAACAACATGGCAGCGTGATTTAAGGGATGGTTGAAGTTCATGATCAGAATAATTACAAATCATTTCTTTATAACACAAAGATTCTGGATCCGTCTTATCGTCTTCATGATCCAACCCGACAGCCAGAGGGAAGCAGGACGGCTGACGGACTGTGATTCTGTTTCACTGAAATTAATGTCAGGAGCTTTTAGCAGAGACACTTCCTGTAGTTTATCAGACAGCTCCCCCTGGTGGAGAGTTCATTTCATTGCAGTTTCTGTGTCCAGGATGAAAAACGGGACAGGATGTCTTTGCTGGAAGAGTTTTTCCTTTCACAAAGTTTTCTGCTCTGGTCCAGGCATTTAGTTTTAACTGGTTTTTATGGGATAATGTTTGTAAAGTTAAACACTCAAAAATTATCAGCAATAATTTGGATCATTGTAATAAGAAAAGGAATGTGGGTCATTATTCAACGTCATATTTTCACCTTGTTATGGATTATTTATGAATGTCATTTCATAAACAAAAATATTTAGCTAGCAAGCTATTTAGTCTAAAGAATAAATATTTGCTCCAAAATAAATATTTAGTTAGCAAGCTAAGTAAGTTAAATTCTGTAAGTGAAAAATAAATATTTAGTTAACTAGTATATTTATTTTAAAAACGATATTTTCTATTTAGCATCCAAAATAAGCTAAATATTTACTGTGAGTAACAAAATATTTAGTTAGCACACTAAATACTTTGTGAGCAAGCTAAATCTGCTAAATATTTAGCTGATTTGAAGCTAAATAAATAGCTCTAAACTAAATATTAAGTAAGAAAACTAAATGTTTAATTAGAAGTAAAATATTTTGCTCCACAGCAAAAAAATTTGGACAGTATATTTAACTTTATATATTTTTATAACTAAATATTTATAGGTCATGCAGTGACTGTTGCTGTAGATCCAGTTTGAGTAGATTCAGCCCCGGGAGTCACTTAGAAATCTAGTTAAATGTGTTGGTAATAACTGATGGTGCAGGTGCAGAAACCTCCCATATCTGTGGAGATATTTTTCAGATTAAGGGATGTAGCAGGAAACATTCCTGCTGCAGGTCATGCTGACTGCCTCTCCCTAACTGGCCTCCTCCAGTTTACTGGATCAGATCACATTGCATTAAAATTGGATTAAATTGGGATATATTAAATTGGATTTGACCCTGAACCTGACTGTCCTGGATTGGGTTGAATCGACTGGATCACATGTAACTGGATAAGAAAGGGAAGTTGTAAAGAAGGTGAGAAACCTTCTGTTGCAAAGTGTTGCTTTGATGATGAATCCAGGTTAAATGACATTAAGTTACGAGTCCAGAGAGCAACAGAGAGAGAGAGAGAGCAGGTTGAAGCTGCGGTAATCCTGTGATATAAACCTGCTGAGCCTCTGCATTCAGCCTCAGTGGGAGATAAAAGCAGCTGGTAGCAGATGGAGCATCCGCAGGTCTGAGCAGCATCAGCAGGATGAAACGTCCGCTCGCTCTCTGCTGTTTCCTCCTGCTGTCTCACACCCTGAGCCCAACGAAAGGTAAGAGCAGCATCTAAACTACCCCACAGCATCTAAATACCCCACAGCATCTAAACTACCCCACAGCATCTAAACTACCCCACAGCATCTAAATACCCCACAGCATCTAAACTACCCCACAGCATCTAAACTACCCCACAGCATCTAAATACCCCACAGCATCTAAATACCCCACAGCATCTAAACTACCCCACAGCATCTAAACTACCCACAGCATCTAAATACCCCACAGCATCTAAATACCCCACAGCATCTAAACTACCCCACAGCATCTAAACTACCCCACAGCATCTAAACTACCCCACAGCATCTAAACTACCCCACAGCAAATCACCCACTCGGCTCATTTGTTTGTTTTTAGCAGGACAAATTAAGCATTTTTCAGGGATAACATGAAAAACAGCCTTTTAGTGAATCCTGGCTTCTTTTTTTCCCCAGAAATAACTGAAATTAAAATTTGTTGTTTCTCTCATTTTCAAACTGCTTTATGCTTTTTACTCTCACTTTCATTAAAAAACCTTCCCTGTGATCCGGTTGGTATTTGCTTTATTTTTAATCATCATCATTAGAAATTATGATCTCATTATTTTAATTCATTCACGCTTGACTGCATCTCATTCCCAGTAATGGGTTTAGTTCATTAAGCACCAGCACAAATGTAAAATTAAAGGGGATTTTTGGCCTATTTGGTTTTGTGAAACAAAGAAAAATAACATTTACATTTCAAACAAGTTACAAATGCTGTGCAGTTTGTATATTTTTACAATATTTCTTCTTCATGCTGTGTGTACGATGAGAATGTACACAAACCATTGGAATGAGTTGGAACCAGTGCTAACTAAAAAGCTAGTTCCGCTAATGCTAAAGTGCTACACTAACATGGTATTTAGCAGAAGCTAAGGCTAAAGTACTAAAATCATAACTTAAACTTAATTCCTTATTAGTGATTTAGAATTTATCTGAAAAAGTTTACCTTGTGGAAGCTAAGTGCGCTAAATGTTTTCTAAGTTAGCAAAATGCTAAAGTGCTAAACAAAGGTTAGCTCCGTTACTGGCAGATTAGTAGAAGTGTTCATACTCCTGGTTAAAACAAACAAACCTCTAAGATATTGCTTTTGAGGACTGATGCTAACCACCAGGTCATCCTTGCCCCTCCTGCACTTACTGCTGACTCAGAAATCATTCTGTCATTGACCCATTTGTAAACTACGTCACTTTATCACCTTCAGGCGCCATGTTGGATCTTTGCAAGATCCAACATGGTGCCTGAAGATACGCCATGAACATTAGCTGTACGCAGCTAGCTCAGAAACGCTTCATTGTTTATGTTCTCAAGTCTTTGCCTGATTTTCTGCTACATGATTTATTCATCATGTCAGAAACAACATTCCTGCTAACACCAGAGCAGATTAGAGCTGCGCTAACGTCTCCAAGCTAACCAGTTTCCTTTGTTCATGCTAGGCTACATCTTATGTATCTTCCTAATAATGCAACATTTGATAGCATTTATTAATCTTATTCTCTCATGAAGTAAAAACATTGATCTTCTCACCTTGTTAAAGGTTTTCGCTGCAGATGCGTGAAGGTTGCCAGTCCTTGGGATTATTTAAGGGATTAAAACAATTTACTATCAATCAACTCCCGTCTTTATTTGTGCAGCAGCATCACTCTGACTTTTTTACAGTGAAATAAATTAAATAAAAGCGACATTTGGCGATCATCTATTAACATTAACAGTGTCGTAATGCAGTGGTGTGTTGCCCCCTAGTGGTGAGAACACAGATCCACGGATAGTTCATGGTAAGCCAACTTCTGACGAAGTGGAAGTTGTTATGTTCTGCCTTTCAAATTAAGACAATTATCCAGGCTTTCAGACTCTAACCAAGAAAATCCTGAACAGAGTTTGTTTTGAAACAGACATTAAAGCACATCTTTGGTGGAATAAGATGTCAGTGTTTGAGTCACTGTAAGTGAATCTGGCTGCTTCATGTTGGGGTTTGTGTGGAGACGGCTTTGTGCCATCAGAGTTAGTGGGTTACCTAACCCTGTTGGAGATGTTCCTTTGGGATAAAGAGTCCATTGTCTGACTCTGAGCCATATTGCTCATGGTAATCTGTACTTTCAAGTGATTAAATGCTTGTGGCTGTTGAAATCACAAAGTGCATGGATGTTAATCCCTAAGCAGAATCCACAGATTTTCTGCCTGTGATCTTGGACTCTAATAAAACCCAGACACTCTAGAGAAACGATCATTGTCCAGGATCTCATCAGGAATCTCCTGGTTCTGATCCACTTGGCCTTACATCTTCTAATCAGCAGCTCGACTCCGTGTTCGTACAGAACCAGCAGGTGAGACGAGTTTCCTGGACTCGGCCTCAGGCTGAGGAGCTCCTCCATGTGGAGCTGCTGGTTCTCCTCACTGAAAGGAGACTTTGGACCAGTGGCGTCCAGAGTCGGTCCTGGAGGCACGGCATTCTCTCCCTGGTGGAGTAACTACCTGCTCAGCATGTTGATGCTCTTCTTTGGCCTCTCAGGAGCCTCTTGGATCCAGGAAGAGAACCTGGCGGCCCTCCAGGACCGACCTGGATCACTTTACTGTTTCATTACTAACCTACTGGGAGGACAGGAAGAACTGGAATATGGAGAGACCATAGTGCATTAAACTAATGTGAAGTAATGCTAAGCAAAATCTGAAAAGTGTGGCAGGCATTTTTATTCACCAGTAGTGATCATTTTGGGGCTTATTGGAGGTTTTTGCCCATTCTTCGACACAGAAGAGCTCCAGCTGAGTCAGAGTGAATGGAAACCATCTGTGAACATCAGTTTTTTAAACAGATTCTCAGCTTTGACTTTGACTAGGCCATTCTACAACATGAATCTAAACGTTTCCAGTGCATTTGTGGTGGTATGTTTATGATGGTTCTCCTGCTGAAAGCTGAACCTCCTTCTCTATTTTCTGGCTTTTTATTTCAGTTTTGTCCTCAAAGTTTCATTTTCTGTATAAAATCCCATTAGAAGTTTGAAGCTGCAGCTCATGTCTGCCTGTTCAGATCCGTTCCTCATATTTTATTTCAAGATTCCAAAACTGTCTTTATGGGTAAATAATTTTTTTGCAGGTTGCTGGGTGGGAACTCTTTGACCTCGTTTGGAAATGTTTTAATCTTTCTTCCGCATTGTTTGTGTATCTGGAGAGGCCAGAGATGGGCAACGCCCGGCTCTTTGGATCAAAAGCTCTATGAGGATTAAGAGGAAAAACATGGGAGGAAAATAATCTGCAGCCGCGGTGACGTCATGCGTCAGCGGCCGGTGCAGCGGAGGTGAGGCTGCCGCCGCCCGCGTTGCTCTGCAAGGTGACCTTTGTTCCCAAGGTCAAAGTGGAGAAAACAAACATCTTGTGGCAGAAAGACAGAGGAGGAGGTCTGAAAGGTCAACAGATTATCACCATGGCAACACGACACCCACACTGACACACGGTGGTGGCAGCATCATGACCTTCTGTTGCTGAAAGCCTCTCAGGTGATTTCCCACCTGCTCCTGCCTCACCTGCAGGTTACCTGATCGTTTCCATGGATCCCCTCCCACCTGTCGTCATCGGCGACACGATCACATTAAAGTGCAACTTCCAGACGGACGGCAGCCTGAGAGAGATCGCCTGGTTCCAGGTGAGCGCTCTCAGAGCTCAATCCTACACTAGGTATCAGTAATAAGTCATATTTAAAAACACTAGAACTCAACATAAATAAATGTCGAGTTCCCTCTAGAATAAAACTCTTTCACCAAAATGTTTCCATTGTTGATGTGAAAGCAGCGTTTGGTTTTAAATGGTTTTGTTCTGCAGGTGATTGAAGGAGGCAACGCCAAGCAAAAGATTTTCACCTACGATTCTGTTTACAACACGAGTTTCTCCAACATGGAGGACGCAAACAAACGAGAGGAACTGGTCTACCACTCAACAGTACGGTACGAATGGCCGACAGGGATCCATTATGAACTCAGCACCGTAAAAACAACAAGTTAAAGGATGAATGTGGAACATTTGGTGCAGTGGCGTCGGGTTGTTGTGTTTTCCAGCCTCCCTGAGGTGCAGCTGGAGGATGATGGCCTGTATGAATGCCATGTGGGGATCTACAGCAAAGGCTCCAGAGATCAGCTGATTGAAGCGTCTGGCAGCATCATGCTCTCCGTTATCGGTTCGACTTCATTTCATCGTGTAAAAATGCTTCATGTTGAGGGAAAACCTCCTTATAAACAGACAGTTATAGCAGTTTGTCAGGCAGTTCAGTGAGGAGGAACATAAACGCCCTGGGAGGAAATGACATCACATGTCTGATGCTCCAGATTCATTCATCCCATTGAGCATGCGGTTAGCTTTAGCAAGCTAGCAAGTCAGTTTAAAGCTAAATATCCAGCTTCACATTCAGCTAGATAGCTATTTAGTTTGCCAACTAAATATTAGCTTCAAACTAACTACTAGCTAATTATTTAGCCAATATGCTAAATATTCAGTTTAAAGCAAATTTGTAAACTAAATATTTAGCATCAAATTAATTAGCTTGCTAACTACATATTCAGTTTGTAGATGAAATATTTGGCTTTTTTATTAAATATTTAGTCTGAATCTGTGACATTTATAAATGAATGAATAACCTGGTTAAAATATGCAGAAAATGAAAATGTAACAAAAACCAGTTTTTGATTTGGGTTCATTTGTTAACTGAACCCAAATTATTGCTGTCAATCCTCCACTGTGTAACTTTGCAAATGGCTGCCCAAACTAAACTGGTGTTTCAGTTGAAAACCAGTAAAACCAGCTGAATAACAAACATCTCAGCTTTTCTTCTGGTTGTGGGACAAAAAGCCCTTTTGGTGTGAGAGCGCCGCCGGCTCGTCTCTGGGTGTAAATCCCCTCCGGTGTGTGAATGTGTGTGTTTTCCCTGCAGTTCCTCCCAGCTCGATTTCTGTGGCGGCAGCCAACAGCCCCGCGCCGTTCAGCCGCTACGAGGCCAAGAACTTCACCCTGGTTTGCATCGTCACTGGAGCAAAACCGGCTCCCTCGGTAAGACGGATCCGTCTGTCGTCTCTCCCCAGATATTCTTGTTTCCCCCTAAAATCCAGGCTGCAAACTATTTGTGGTGGTGGAGAGAAATGAAAGCGTAACAGAGCAAATGAGAGCCTGGCTGGCAGTAATGAGTTCACAGCTGGATTTGATCTGAAACGAACACAGAAATGGAGCCTGAAGCAGATAAAAAGTTTGAAATGAAAAAGCTATTTATGGCTGTGGTCTGCACCCTGCGCGACCTCTTTGCCAAAGTATTCAGCATTAATACCGGAGGATTAGCAAACAGCTGCATTTGTGATGGAATCAAATCCAGTGGCAAAGAAATTCAGCTTTCCAAAATCATTTATGATCGACATAAACTAATCTTATTCTCACAGAGATTAATCTAATAACCTATTTAATGTTTTCATTTGTGATTCAGCTGCAGTTTATAGGGCGAGAGGCAGGGAACTCGAGCAGCTTGGATCCCATTCAGTGGCTCTAAGTTCCTCTGGTTGGTGTGAATGAAAACCAAACTCTGGTCCTCCAAACCTCCATCTGGGTTCGGTTGAAATGAACTTGCTTTGGTTTGGATGCATATGTGAACACCAAGCAGACCAGAGACCGCTCCAAAAGCAGGAAGTGGACTACAGCACAGGGCATTCTGGGTAACCAAAGCTAACATGTTAGCCTAGCGCTAGCAGCAGAAATGGCTCCTGGTTTTCAGCCAAAGACTAAAGAGAAATCCTCCAACACTAAACTCTGACACCTCCATCTTGTTTCCATCTGGTGAAACAGGAAGTTGCTCTCAGCGTCTTCAGAGGTTTTGTGTCGTTTCCTGCAGTGGTTCTTGGTGCAGCGCCCCCTCAGGCCAGGAGGGGAACAAGCTGGTTTGACTCAGAGCAGAGAGGAATAGAACCACAGCAGCTGGAGGATGAAGTTTTGAGTCCAAAAGAACCGGGTTTCAAATGACTATCAGTCCTTCTCCAAAGGTCTGTAACTTTTCCAAACCTTTTGCCTTCCAGGTTTACTTCAAACGGGACGGTGAGCTCATTGACGTGTTTCCAGCAGCTGGGTCTTCCTCCTTGGTGGGACATCGCAGCAAAGCCTCCAAGAGAAACCGGAACGTGAAGCAGGTTCTTGTCAGAGGAGATGTTGACGACACCAAAATCCAGAAGTCCCTGTCCCTGCAGAACCAAGCGGGGAAAGTGACCCAGCTTAGAGAGAATGAGACGGACAGCGTGGAGCGAGGCGGGGGGGACGCCTCCCGGTCGGAGCCGACCACAGAGGGCATCCCGGAGACGGTGGTGAGCCGGGAGTTTCCCCGCTGGGTCCAGAGCAGCGACCCGCTCTACTACTTCCAGCACTGGCAGCAGGTGGCGGGCGACGGCACCATGGAGGCCCGAGCCATGCTGACCTGGAGCCTCAACCCCCAGCTGGATAACGAAGCCCTGTTCAGCTGCGAGGTCAACCACCCCGCCCTGTCCATGCCCATGCAGGCCGAGGTCACACTCAGTAAGGTCACAGCTCAACACCTGAACTGTCTGACACGCAGTTGTTGCACACTTAATAATTAATCAGTGTTTGTTTTAATTCTTGGGCACCAATATGGTGGAGAGAGAGAACATCATCTCACTGGACTCCAGTTCTGTCTGCTGTATTTGGCCCAAATAAAGCAGACAGAACTTTTATTTGGAAGGTTCTGCATCATAATGTTGACAGAACATCAGAGATCAGGGCATTTATACCCAGAACAGTTCAGGTTCAACCAGTCCAGTTGGTTCCTGTCGCTACCAGTTTTTACCCGACATGTTTTAAAATAATAACCTGTCAAACTTAATTAATTTTGACATGAGATGTGAAACAGTTCAGAGGAAATAAATTCAGTTGCAGTGGATCATTTGTATAAAAGGTTTGTGGAACTAAAGCAGGTTTTATTTTCAACCTTTTATTTTCCCACTAATGAGTTCAGAATATGTGCAGCACAGATAAAGCAGCTATTTTAATTGTTTTCTGGTGTTTTTCTGCAGTTAAGGCCAAAAGTATTCATACTTCCAGCTGATTTAGATCAACCTGGAAGTATTACTAAATAAAACTTTCAGATATAATTTTTCTCAGTTTCTGTTTCGCTGTTAAAGGAGCTGCTACTGACATTAAGTTTTCTGCAAACTGATCCTGGATCAGGGCTTCCAGTGCGACAGTGTTTTTCCTCTTCACTGTCGCCACATTGCATGCTTTACATGCTAGGCAGACAGTTTGACATTGAAATATTTGAGTGCGGCTCTTTGTTTTCCCTCAGCTGCCCCCAGAGGACCCAAGCTGTCCACCAGCCCCAGTAAGGCCAAGGTGGGAGACACGGTGCGGATCTCGGTGCTGGGCTTCCAGCTGGGCCCGTCTGCTGTGAGCTTCTAAACCGTCTCTGTGCAGAACAACCTCAGTATAGATGGGTGGAGATGTCATCATGAATGAAGAGGTTAAAATGAAAGGATGAGGGTCCTGGATCTCCATGCAGATCCTGAACCTTTTTTCTCTCCCTACTCCGAGATCAAATGACCCAGAAAACGGTTCTGGATCGGTTTGGTCCAAAGCCATGAACGTTTCCTTCGTCACTTTGTAGGTAACAATTATGGAGCAGCAATAGTTTAAAGAGCTTCAAAGACCCAGCTTTTATTTTGGTGGTTCACTTCCTGCTAGTGGTTGGTGAATTTGCCAGCTAGCTAAACATTTGGCTCTGTGCTAGCTACATAATCAGCTAGCTAATTAGCTAAATATTAACGTCAGAGCTAAATATTTAGCCTGCGAGCTAAATATTAGCTTCCTAGATAAACATCTAACTGGCTAACCAAATACTAGCTTGCTGATTAAGTGTTTAGTTTGAGGCTAAATATTTAGCTTACTAACTAAACATTTGGTTTTAACACAATGAAAATATATGAAGAACTAAATTTAACCCAAATTACCGCTGTTCATTTTAACGGGTTAATCCTGGACTTGGTGGAAAAACGAAGCAGAAATCAGTTTTAGACAGAATGACCTTTTCTGTCAACATGTTTCTTTGACCTTGAGATCAATTTGTTTAGTTAGCATTTAGCCTTTAACAGTCAAAGGGAATTGACTGTTTGTTATTTAGGGCATCAGAGTAAAGGGGGCTGGACTTGTGTCCACAGACCAAGGTGTTCCCGGAGCCTCTGCTCACCTGGACCCGGGTCGGCGGGAACCTGCTGGACGGCAGCGAGAAGCACGATGGGAGGGAGCTGGTTCTGGAGCGGGTCCCCGCCGAGCTGAACGGATCCATGTTCCGCTGCACGGCGCAGAACCCGCTGGGCTCCACCGACACACACACCCGCCTCATCGTGTTCGGTGAGAACCGGGCCGAACCGGGCCAGAACCGGGCCGAACCGGGCCACTAACAGGTTTTCCTTTGTGTTACAGAGAACCCAAGACTGAAGAAAGGAAGGGAACATTTTATCGGTGCGTTCAAGAACGAAATATGATTCGATGCTCTGAATCATAAGACAGGAGCGAAATCATTCCAAATTTTTTTGGAGCCTCATTTATGGCCTAGTTAAAGTTTAAAACATTTCATTTGAAGCTAAACATTTAGCTTGCTAATTAAATATTTAGCTTCCTAATTAGATATTTTGGATGTGAAATAATAGCTTGGAAACTAAAATAATAGCTAAATATTTAGCTTAGAGCCACATGTTTAACCTGCTGACTAAATATTATCTCGCTAATTAATTATTTAGTTTGAAGTCAATAAATCTTGTTTTCTCTGTAATGTCTGGCTAAATAACCCAAAATATTGCCATTAATTTTTTACTGTGCAACAAACTGGAACAAAATGAAGCATCAGATGCAAAGATTTTACATAAAACTAAACCAAATTTTCTATTTTTGAGAGGAAATTTATTGTTCATGTTGTTAAAATGAACCATTAAAGCATTTATTTCAAGGTGAATCGTGTTCTTGTGTGCAGCTCTCAACGCAGCGGCCTCTGGGGTCTGCCTCATCCCAAACCTCCTGGTTCTGCTGAGCTTGACCTGTGAGCTGACCTGAGCCGGGCTCCGCGGCTCCAGCAGAACAGCAGCGGGTCAGGGAGACCGGACCCGGAGGCTCAGCGGACCCGGAGGCTCAGCGGACCCAGGAGGCTCAGCAGACCCAGGAGGCTCAGCGGACCCGGAGGCTCAGCGGACCCAGGAGGCTCAGCGGACCCGGAGGCTCAGCGGACCCAGGAGGCTCAGCGGACCCGGAGGCTCAGCGGACCCGGAGGCTCAGCGGACCCAGGAGCTGCAGGAGGCAGCCGGCTGCGGCAGTGTGTGTCCAGGAACAGGCGCCGACGGGGCCCCGGTCCGGAGGCCGGATCTGGACAGACGGGTTGAACTTCTCATTTTGGACGTCAGCCGGATCTCAACTTTGGACATTTTTCCAAGATTACTGGATCTTTGTTGCCAGATCTGACTTGAGTTTCCGGCCCAAACAGAACCTAAAACCCGATCAACTCCAAAAAACAAAAAACCAGACCAGATTTCAAGTTCTGTTGAAACTAATGCATGTCTCTCTCTCTCGACTCATAACGGCCTGTCAGGGACAAGGAGAACATTTCCACCAAGAAACTCTTTCATGTCCTTGTTTTTCTAGAAAATTTCTAAAATTATTCTAAAACTTTTTCAGTTTCAAAAGTTGAACATTTTTACTTCCACCTATTAGCTTGGAGCTAAATATTTATCCTGCTAACTGGACATTAAGTTGGCCAACTAGATACTTAGCTTCAGGCTACATACTGGCTAATTAAATATTTAGTTTGGAGCCGAGTTGTAGTTTCAAAACCCAAAAACTTTTGAAGTTTTTTTTCTAAACACTCCCCAAACATTTCTGAGTGTTTTCTAGTTGATCTTTGACTTTTCAAACTCAGAAAGTTTTTGGGCAGAAATTTTCTCTTCTTTTCAACCTGCAACAGGCTGCAGGATCGAGTTTCCAGCTGAGACAGAACTGGACTCTGAACAAACTGAGTTTTTGTGCCATTAAATCACAAAGTTACTCTGAGATTTCTGTTTTAAAATGCTACATAATGACTTTATTAACCAATGACTAATCATTGATGATGTCACATTTTATAGATTTCCAATTAAAGTAAATAAGACGGGAGCGAAATCACTGCATTTTATTAAATGTTTTGTGCTTCTTTCTAAAATCCACCAAACTTTGTGAAAAGCAGCACAAATGTTGACATCCTGCACCAATCTGGCAACGCTGAGTCACTTTTTAGAAAAATGTGCTTCACTTGTTTAAATGACACAAAATGTTTTATTGCAAAAATATTAAAGGGTGAATTTAAACCAAAACATGTCTGCCTACAAATAATCATCATTCCGGATCGATAACAAAACATTTGCATCCATAATGTGAAGCAAACTGAGTGGAGGAACCTGCAGAACATCCTCCGCTGCCGTGAAGGTCACACCTGGAGCAGCGGATCAGATAAAGAAGAGCCGGGAAACGCAGCCAGTGCCGCGGTACTTCCTGCCTGCTGGACTTCCTGCCGACTCCTGCAGAGCGACTCGGCGATAAAAGGTAAAAAACCTGCAGAGATCTACAGTTTCATGTTCTCTAATAGACTCTTATATACAAACACACACATCTACAAGCAGCTTGTTAGAGTTTAGACGCTCGGCTCCTTGTTAATATTCTATCTTTATTATAACAACATATATATATATATATTTACAGAGTTTATGGTTCTTCTAGACATATTCACAGTTGTGTGTTGGTGAACAAATAGAGGTTCTGTCAGTTTTTAGAGTTCAGGAGTCTCAGTGTTTGTTAGAGCGGCCGGGTCGATCAGAACTCGGAGGAAAGCGTCAGAATTCGAGCAGCAGGAAGTCTTCGTTGTCGTCGGCCGGCAGCATCAGCTGCTGCTCGTAGAACAGGCTCTTGGCGTAGTTGATCTCCTGGGAGATCTTGTAGGCCAGACTCTCGTTCTTCACCTGGACCTGCGGGCGACAGCAGGAGCGTCACACACTGCAGCAACACAACGTCACTGCAGCAACAGAACGTCACTGCAGCAACACAACGTCACTGCAGCAACAGAACGTCACTGCATCAACATAACGTCACTGCAGCAACACAACGTCACTGCAGCACACAACGTCACACACTGCAGCAACACAACGTCACTGCAGCAACACAACGTCACTGCAGCAACATAACGTCACTGCAGCAACATAACGTCACTGCAGCAACACGTCACGCTGCAGAAATAATTTAGATATTATTTTACAATAAAAATAATTTTAAAAAATTAACAATTTTTTCAAAACTTGAAATGTCAGATTCTCTTGAAAAATTATCAGAAATTTTGTAGTTTTTCAATTTTTGTATTACAAATTTTCATCTTTTAAAAGTGCAAACATGTTTGAAATTTACTCCTCTTGTGTTTTATTTATTTTTAAGCAGACATTTTGCTGCCAGTGGATCCAGAACCTTTATGAATATGAAGAACATATTGAATGGACCTGATATCTCGCTGGAAGTTGCCTGTAAGTTTCCTTTGTCTTTTTTTTAGTGCTGCAGTAGAAACCCGACCACAAATACTTGGTAAGATTCTGTGTTTTTGCAGCAGAGAGTTTATGGATCTTAAATGTTTCTTTTCTTCCTGCAGCTTCATAACCAGGTTTCAGTGTAAACCAGAACTCTGGATCTCTGACCCGTTTCGTTAGTGGTTTTTTAGATGGTTCTGGTTCCAAGTCTCACCATGGGTCTCTGTTGCGAGGGTCCGGGAATGGCCACTCCGCTGGTGGAGTTCTCCGCCTTCTTGGTGAGCTGGACGTAAACTTTCCCGTACTCCCTGGACACCAGGCAGTGGAAGAGGTCGTCGTATTTGACCTCCAGGACGATGCCCTCGCGGTCCACGCTGTCGCCCGGCTTCAGGAAGTAAACCACTTTGGAGGAAATGAGGACGCTGTAGGTGTCGATCGGCTCCACCGCCATTAAGCTGCCGGATCAGAACCAGGAAGCGGGTTGGGAACGTGACGGAAGCGACCCGGCTCCGTTCGGGCTGCGAACGGGAAAACTTACAACTCGGAGTGGATGTTGTCGGTGAGGCGGAAGAGCTGCTCCTGACCGTCGGCCTGCGTGGCGGAGAAGCGCGGCAGGAGGCCCTGAGGGCCCTTACAGCAGCGCGGCTTCCTGACGCGCTGGACCAGGAGTCTGGACAGGAAGTCACAGTCAGACGGACAGGAAGTCACAGTCAGACAAACAGGAAGTCACAGTCAGACGGACAGGAAGTCACAGTCAGACGGACAGGAAGTCACAGTCAGACGGACAGGAAGTCACAGTCAGACAAACAGGAAGTCACAGTCAGACGGACAGGAAGTCACAGTCAGACGGACAGGAAGTCACAGTCAGACAAACAGGAAGTCACAGTCAGACGGACAGGAAGTCACAGTCAGACGGACAGGAAGTCACAGTCAGACAAACAGGAAGTCACAGTCAGACGGACAGGAAGCAGGGCTGGGCAACAAATCAATCACAACGCATGCCAGGACGCACATCGTCAATATCGAGATATTCACAGAGCATTCTGGGAGATGTAGGCAGAGGGAAGACTTCAGCGACTCAACCTCTCAGCTAGCTAAACCAACTCACTCGCTCTTTGGTTACCTAGCAACAGGGTGGTAACCCAGCCTAGTTTCCAGTGCAGATCCTTTAAACCCGTAAATGAGACCAAACTAACTTTTGGAAAGTAACTTTTCAGCGTGAAATAAAATAATTTCTTAATATTGATTTTAAAAAGTACTAGTTCCATGGCAGATTATTTCATTAGTACTTTGTCAGAATTTGGACTAGAATGTGTGAATTATTTGGTTAAAAGAAGCTCCTGCAGCTTTGGCTGAGTCCAGGTTTCTGCTCTAGGAAGTAGACCAAACGTGATCGGGCCCTGAGGAACCCCACCTGTGGCTGCTGAGGCTGGAGATGTCCCGCACCGTCTGGGCCGTCTCCGAGGCGAAGTCCAACGCCCCGGCCACGGGTTTGGTGACGGTTCCCACCAGACCTTTACCGAGTCCGGAGAAGAAGCCGCTGACGCCGCCCTCCGTCTTCACGCCCTCCACGGTGGAGGTGATGATGCTCGTCATGCCCCCGATGATTCCTGCGGGTCGGAGCGATTTACAGTCATGGACCGGCGGAGCGGCCACGTCGCCGTGACTCGGCGCCGGCTGGCTCACCGTGAGCGAGGCCGTGGATCCCGGCCACCAGGTGCTCCCCGCTGGTGGCGCCGCAGTACCGGATGTACTCCCGCTCGCTCTGGTGGCGGTTGTCCATGGTCTTACCCAGACCGTCCGACAGCGTGCCTGCAAACTGACGGGCAAGACAGAAATGACGGTTTGATCCGGGTGACGATCCGATTCTTTTGAACGGTTCTTTTCCCTGAACGAAAGGTTCTGTTTGTCGTTGCTCTTCACGCCGCAGCTACTATTATTCTATTTAGTTTTAAAATTACATTTATTTAACTGCTGAGTAAATAACAGAATCAGCAAATTCTGAGAAAAAGTTGCAATTTAATTTCAAAATTATTAGAATTTTGAATTTTTCTCTAAATATTTTTTACCTTTTTTCTTTGAATATTTTCATTTTTCTCAGTATTTTGACTTTTCAAAAGTCTGAATTCTGAGATTAAAGTCCAATACTTCATTTCTATTAGTTATATTTTCATTTTTATTTTGTTTCTATGTAATAAGCAGCATAAAATGTTTCTAAAACAAGACACTTGTGAAAAATCGACATGGCGTTTTGACATTTTGAATGAAACATTTTATGCAGGTTTTTTGATCATTTTTTTGCAGAAACTGCAGTTATTGACGTGAAACCGATGATTTCCTGAAGCTGCGGTGCACAGACTGGTTGCTGCCATGGAAGCGGGTCGTCTGCGGTACCTTGGCGGCGGAGTTGGACACGCCGTGCGTGACGTTGAGGATCATGCCGTGGACGTTGCCGTGCTTGATGAGCTTGGACATTCCCTCGGACACGTCGTTCAGGAGGCCCATCGGGTTCCCCAGGAAGTCCACGGAGCCCAGGATCTGCGCCGCCTGGCTCAGCAGCTCCTGCAGGGGAGACGCCGCAGCGTGAAGAACCGGAACCGGGGCGCTCACAGAGACGAGCCCTGATGGGTGAACTCTGACCTCTCGGAAGTGCTTGAGGATGTCGTTGATGATGATCTCCTGCGTCTCGTAGGGGTGCACTCTGGTGAACGGGTACATGTTGATGACTGCGTCCTCGAAGCGGATCAGCGGGAAGCCCAGGGTGCCTTTCAGAGCCTGGACCGCAAAAAACCGCCGGCTTCAATCAGAACCACTTTAAAACTGACATCATTCTCCAATTCTTTGGTTCCAGCCTGGAACATTTTATACATACAAATATAAATGACAGAAACAAAAGAGCCAGCTAGCTGCATTAGCTGCTTGTAGCTGCATTAGCTGCTTGTAGCTGCATTAGCTGCATTAGCTGCTTGTAGCCTCCGGCCTCCAGCAGCAGTGAAGATGAAGGTTTAAACTGACAGGAATAAACCAGAGCTGTGATCAAAGCTCTCCAGACTAACTTACATTTAAATGATTTAAGACATTTTCAGAACGTCCTGAACCAGAAATAAATATAAATCAATGTAAGTAAACGATTAATTGATCGTCTTTCCAATAATATTTAAGATCTAACATCTGAAAACAAGTTTTCCTCTCGACGCTGAATTTTAATTTACACTCCACATCCTGCCAGATGTTTCCAGACTGCAGTGGTGCCCTGATCTGGCTCTGAAACCTTCTCGGTGAGAAAGCGGGCCGGCGGTACCTTGAGGTCCGGCGGCAGCTTGTGAGACGGCAGGACGCTCAGTTTGATTTGAGGCAGGCTGATCTTCAGGTTCTCGAAGTAGTAGCGCTTCCGGGGCCCGCTGTCCTCGCTGGGCCGCTCGTGCAGGTTCTCATCCAGGTTCTCCAGCCCTGCGTTCAGACGAGCAGTTATTTCACAAGCAGCCAGCCGGAGCAACGCCGGAGCAACGCCGGAGCAACGCGTGAGCGGCGAGAGGCGACACCCACCGGCCTCGGCCTTCCCGTAGCCGAAGAAGCTGAGCAGCTTGAGCAGCAGCTTCTCGTCGATGA